CTTTGCTAAAACAGCGCTCAAAAAGCCCACCGAGCCCGCTTAATTCCGCGATTGATCAGGTTTTAAAGGCCTGCCAAATTACGATGCAATCGGCAGCTTTGCTCGAGAAAGAAGTAAGCGAATTACGCGCTACAAACGAGACGAAGAAGCGAAAAAGGACTCGATCTAAAAGTCAAATAGCTTCCGAAGAAGGCCTCTCTGTTTTAGAGGCCTCTATATTAGCAATGCAGCCGGAGCAAGCAATTATAGCACCAATACCCCGCTAGGCTGGACCGGTTCCGGCACCTTTACAGCCACGTACGAGGGCCTTACCGAAGTGTGGTGCATGTGGAATCGAGGGTAATAAGAGAAATGCGTGTCCAAATAGACCTCGTTTTTAATTTATTGAATTTAATGGCGTTTTGGTTGAGATAAATGCATTTAAATCTACTAGGTTGTGGGAGCTGATCCACTCGGTGGTGTGATCCACTCGGTAGTGAAATACGTTAAGTTATGTAATATCCATGATTAGGTAATTGAAAACGTCATGTGATTGTATTGGTATTCATTCTCCGTATTATTTACATGACCTTCGTGTATGCCCAACTTTACCACATGCAGTGCATTTAAAGGGTGCCCTCTTCCGTTTATTCATAGTCTCGCTGTCGTCTTTCTGCTCCAATTGATCCCACTTCCGCTTTTTAGGCTTTGGAAAAGGAATCAAAGGCTCTAAGAGAGGAAGGTATTCTGATTCCATTTCAGAAAGCCCAGCTCGCCAGAATGGGTGGATATCTGTCAATGGGATAGCTTTATTGCTCTCCAATAAACTAGTAATCCGATGGGCACAAGGAAGACCCATTGTCCTTGTGAACGTATTAGTACAAGGGGGTAAAGGAGCAAGATTTGTAGCTCTTCTAGCCTTTGTAACTTGCTCGCCAATCAGTCGTATCGAATAGCGGGAGGTCCTGATCACAATATTAGTATAAAGTTGATGTAAGGTTACTACTGGCCTCTCAATCTGATCTCGTCTAAAATCATATTCAAGCGTAGCATTCTGGGTTTGTAAAGCCTGTGAAATCCTTTCAAATACGATCAACATATCCCCTGTCGAAGCACCGATGTGCTTTTTTAAAAAGGCATGTGAGCCTTCAACTCGAGAGGTCGCAGAATTACCGAGGTGTAGGCATTGTTGTGTCCATGCAACTATAAATTTTTCTTTATGAATTAGCCATGTCTCCTTAATATATCGAAGAGAAGGGGAGGTCTGATATCGCTTCTCGAACTCTGATAGCCTCGAATTGTAGTCGTTCTCTGTAGTAGAATAAATTAGCTGATTCCATGATTTTTGAAATGTTTGATATTCGGCGTTCGTCGTAAAATGCTGCTTCGTATTAGACGTTACGTTCTTGTTAATATGCCAGATGCAAAGAAGATGGGGATAATCTGGACAGACGACCTTGACAGCACCTAATAATGCAAGGTCTCTCTTCCTGTTCATTCTGCATAAAGCAAAATGCAACACTAAAGGTTGAATTTGATGGCGAGACACCAATAATATGCAATAGAGGCATACGATATCGGTTTGTCTTATAGGTGCAGTCTAGGACGAATACCCTGTTGTATAGGTTAGCATACTTGATTGACTCTGGGTGTGCAAACATAAAAAAGAGGACATGTCCTTCGCTATCCTGCTTAATAGCATATTTCCAGTGATTTTCCTTCAAAGTCTTCAGCAGAAACTCAAGGGGAGTACTATTACCGAGCTTTTGCCTTCGTAAAGCACTTCGCGCATTGTAGATGTCTCGAGGGGTAACTAAAGCATTAGGATGCTCTCGTTTGATTAGAGCTAGGATGCCACGAGGGTTAGATCCAATTTCCGATAGATGTAGGACCTTTTGAATCTGCTCCTCTGTGAGCCGACGGGCAGCTGAATGTCCGATCATATTATCATCAGCTGTGTGATTATGATTCCGGTTTTGGACCTGTAACTCCCACTTATCATCAAAAAGCATTTTCCCGTATAGCTTAAATGGACAGCCAATCCGCCGTGTAGTTGTCGTTCTTCGTTTCGCTCCATCAGGAGCATTCACTCAGTCACGATACGTGCCACCACGGTCACAACCAAGATAGATGTACTTATCTGTGATTGATCGTATAGTAGTGACAGCGTAACCTTGCGAGAGAGCATGCTGACGGACAGAGGCAATTAATAAATCTCTGCTATCAAAAATTTGCTCAGTAGGGGGCTCCATTTCTGAAAAATCCGAGAGGCAGAGATTTGAGGAGCTAAGAAAAGAGGGAGGCGAGAGCTGGGGATTTATACTATACTATGGTATGACATTTAGAATGATGTTGCTGTGGTAATTCCAATACAATCACATGACGTTTTCAATTACCTAATCATGGATATTACATAATTAGGAGTGTCCGGAACAAAAGTGGGAGTGTCCCTATCAATTCCCATCATCATTGGATAGATAGGGTAAGCCCTAGAAAGATACTGTATTCACAAATTCAATAGCCATTGGGACGAGACACAGTGTCGCTCTTGCCGTCAAGCCTCTAACACAATACAAAAATGGCAAAGATTGGTTTCTGGCATCCGCCGCGTTGCTGCCCACCGTCTTTCACAGAATCGTGAATTTCTCCTCCGAATGAACTGCGTCGCGATTAAATTCTCTCCCTGTATCCGTGGATTTTCGAGCGTGCAGAAGCTTCGCCGTTTCTTGAAGTTCCTCGGGGATAGACTCCCAAAGTCAGAGAGCCGCCGAGCGCAGCCAAGACGAAACTTCAAACACCAAGCTTCTTTGCCAATACTGCGCCTCGAAGATCTAAAAGACCGATTTCTCTTGCTACCGAAACACACCCAGGGAGTTTTCCGCCGGATTGAGGCAATGTACAATTTGGAAATGGAATGGTTCATGCAAGCTGAATTCAGATGACATCCACCCACCGGTTTTTATCTCTTGATGTTGAAATACGCATTTTTTTGACATGTATCTCGTAATAAACAGAAGTGAAATTATCCAAAACAGTAAATGGCAGAGAATACTGCGCTTGAATGTGGACCGGCGATTGGAATCCCAGCATCGATCCAAGGGACAGCATATCAGGAGGTTCAAACTTTTGGCCCAGAGGAGAAATCACAATGATCTCTTAGTATCCCGCATAGACCGCTTGATGCCAGCACCACTTCCGTGCCGGTCTAAAAGTACATGATCGTCATCCTGGAGGTGAGACTATGTGCATCGTGTCTGTGCCGCCAGGAAGCTGAGATACCGGCGAACAGAGCGTCCAATTTAGCAGGATTACATCGGCAGGAGCACTAAATTGCGATGAAGGAACAGTGGCCAACTATCTTGAAGAACTATTCCTGGTACATATTACTAGAATAAAGGCTGTGATCAGCAATGAAGCCTCAACATGAGAAATATAAGCGTGGTTGTATATCATTCCATGTATTCCGTATAGAAAGGAGCAACCGCTCTTCTTTGGAATGAGAACAATAATGAGGAAGTCCCAAAGTCAAAGGATCCGAGAATGACGGTGGTGCCCTTGGAACAGGCCCGCCTATACATCATCACCCTTGTCATACTAACCAGGAGCATGTCATCAGAATCCTACGCAGCCCGCGAAATACTGCGGACAGTGTGTAAGAATTCACAATACTATGAGTGTTCCCGTAGGGATATAGAACATAGTAACAAGGGGGCTCTGGAAAAATGAAAATATCTGACATTCTTGTTGGCTCAAGGTAATACGTCTTCTTGGATTTGGTTGGATCGATGGTCGAAAGCGGAGCGTGTTAGAATAAAGCGAACGCGTTGTTCACCTACAGTCTGGCATATGACTCACTTTTGTCCAATAGTTAAGAAAAATCCCTAGCGGCAGTCTACCAGACTGCAGCTGGCCCGTGGAATAGAGTCACAATAGTCCAAAAAGTGAACACAAGCAACAATGTTTGAAAAGAAAAAAATAAACAAAGTACATGAATGGCTGTCCTTATATATCCTTCCCTTCCTTCACCTTGGTATATCCCCGAGGGGCAGATACTGAAGCCACTGTATACTTCCAGATATACACCCGTAGAGTAGATCCGGAGTCACGATCACGCGATGTATACCAGCCGTTTGGGCGTCATGTGGAGCATTATAGTACTTTTTCGAACTTCTCAACAACACGCAGAGCAGCATACCATGGTAGGGTTGTGCATCTATGCGCGTGAACTCCGATCGTCCGTGTCTTCAATAGCAGGGGAAGGTATGGTCTCCTAAGTAGCGTCGCAGCAGTGAGGCATCACCTCTCGTGAATTATCAGCGATCACCTTCGTGATAACATTGTGCCTATCTGCAATGGAGCGTCAGTTACGTTTAGCTAAAACAGGCACAGGTGTGTTTCTTGAGTCTCACAGGATGAAGGGTCGAAGCAATTTAGCCGCGCGTTATCCGCAGTCAGCTTATCCCCATCACAGCTGGTGAGCGTGATAATGTGCAACCACGGGGAAATGAGGAGTGATTGCATCTATATCATGTCGTAATGCTAGTTCTGTAATATCAATGTACGAGCGCAGTCGGTTTATCACTCTGGACGGGCGTTCTGAAAGTTCCTTATATGTCCAGCCATATGCTATGAAACCCCAAAGAATCAATGCTGTGGCCACCTTATCTAGTGAGCAAGCTTTCTCCAGAATTCCAGGCTGATGCAACCTGAGGTACTCCAGTAGAAGAGAGACATCTCCCTTACTTAGTTTCCTTTCCCACCTGTTTCCATCTAGTCAGTTGCAACGTATGGAAGGCATAGTAACACACTTACACTGTGTTTACCTGGCTACCAAGCATGAGCAATAGCCCAGGTCCAGCATCCATCAGAATTTGCATGTATCGTTGGCCAGCCTTACGATCGGCTTTCACAGCGTCTATGGAGGCTGATATGCTCGCTGCCTGCAAAGACAGAGCTGCAGACTTTCTGCCACGGCCACGGGATAAGCGTAGAAAGTCAGAAGTAGCCAACTGTTCAAGATCATGTTCCAAGAATATGTGACAGAGTCGACTGGCACAATCATAATCGTCGCGGCCACGCTTCACCCGAAGAAAACCATGGAACAGTCGCTGAAGGCGAGCGACTGGACCTGTACCGCTGCCGGAGAAAATCCTTTCCCCTGTGGACCAAAGGTTCGCGTACCTTGCTCCATCAAGTTCCATGGCACTGATTAAACCCTGGAGCGCTCGGGCTAGATAGGTTGTCCTTGAATTTCGAGATCCCAATCTGGCCCTGAAGAAAGCCGCCGCATTCGTATGTTTCTCCAGAGGAGCATAGGCCGCATCAGTAAAGCCAGTTTCAATCACCCCGTCTGGCCGAGAGGAAACGGATGAAGGCAATTTAGAAGCAACCATGGACAAGCTGGTTGTGTCTAATCCCTCTGGAGTGGAAGGGAAACAAGTGCATTGTTCCGGACCAACTACAACAGGGCTTGATGCAGCTTCAGCTATGAAGGGGGTGATATCAAGCGAAGAACTTTGTTGACAAGGTTCTATAGACATTTCTCCTTCCACGGCCATGGTAGCTGCCCCTTCCTCGTATGATGGCGAGCTGAAGAGGATCTGTCGTTCGATTTCTGTGCATCGGAACACAAAGCCGCGAAAGCACCCAAGTAGACCCTTATAACGCCGCTCAGATATAGGAAATAACACGATGAGGGTGCCATACTCACCGGTGAGTTCGCAATAACAGATGGAGAAAGCGTTCTGAGTATCCGGGCTATAAGTTGCTCGTTGGTTTCATAATCCATCAGAATCGGGAACCTGCTAGGCCGTACAAAACAAATTCAGGGGGCAAAAAGGCCGGGAGAGATAGTCAGAGCCGCAACGTCGGCCTTTTTTTGGACTGAATTATTCGCAAAATTTTCAGAGACAATGAATTAAGTGAGAGCGGGATAATACTTGGTCAATTTAACTGGGAGCAATGCGGTATTTATTTAACCCCCTATTCCAGATCAATGTGAAATTTATATAAATGCACACGTGAATTTACAGCTTTAGCTAGAGCTGACAGGCTGCTTTAGTTAGATTAAAATGCTGGTATTTAAACTTCCCGCCACATTCGGTGGGATCAAGCCATGTGGAGCTCTAACATAGAGTTTCCAGTACTGTGCCCTGCTGTCTGCGGAAAATGCGGAATTTATGAGTAGAACTGACCAGCTGGTCAAGCTAACGTGCATAAGACGTTAGTAAAATAAGTTATTGCCCCACAAAGGCTACGCTAACTGCGTTATTTCGGTGAAATATAGAGTTTGGTTCGTAAGACCCCGTTAAGGACGCTGAGGAAATTATTCGAGATTCATAAATGAAACGCAGCCGAGACTTCCCGGCTACTGCGCAGCGCCGTTACTACCGAGTCAGTATCTGTAAATGGAATGGCTCAGAATTCTCAGTGCACTGGCAGATTCCACCCAATCTTTCCAACTGGCGTCTAACCACGCAGACTTGCTCTGGATGCCTGAACAAGCGGCTTCAATTTTTCGATGCTCCCGCTTGCTTAGTAGCGATATTGCCTATCGAGAAGCAGTGCGGCACAGTATTTTGCAGAAAGGTTCTTTAACATCAGAATACCTGGTCACAATATTATATTCACTACACCAAGCCACCAACACGACGCTGTAGAAGGCAACCATGGTTTCGGTTCAGGATATGATCATTCAGCAGAATTTCCAGCCCCTCATATTAGGGCCACTCTCCACATATTTTTCAGTCTTACTAAGAAGGCGTCGTTCCCCTTTCCTCGGTTTTCCCTCCAAGCGAGTGGTTTTATGGACAAGTATATCATTTCGTACTGGGGAGTAGCAGCGAGAGGAAGGGGTTATGATTTTCCCTGTAAAGAATGAAGCGAGAGGAAACAGAAAAGTAAACCTCGCGAAAACCCGCCCAAAACCCAACCCAAGACTAAATGGGTACCCCACCTGTGTAACCACAAAAGAAAAAATTTGACATGTCATTTTACATAAAATTGTGCTGTATTTTTAAATTATATAATGGTAAAGCCAATGTTCGATTGTCCTAGCCTATGGCAAGGAGTATTCAGGACAAATATTATTGACAAATGAAAATGAAACCGGCTCATAATAAAGATAAATAAATATAGCTCGTAGTCTTGCAGTTGACCTGAAGACATTGTGGCCCTACCAGAAGATCTATTCTCACTACTATTACCCAGATGCGTGATTTGGGTGGAAGCAGATCTGCTTCGCATCTTCGTTCAGTTGTGCAGTGACAGCCAGTCTGTTTCCGCTGTCTCTGCTAGCATATCTTCTGCTTGGTTTATGGTTTCGAATTCAATAATACTCTCGACGTCTTCTCTCTCTTCCACCTCTTCATCACCCTGATTGGCGCGGCGTCCTCTCAACTTTACTTTCAGCGCTTCACCCTCTCCAAGTGCCTCTTGGCTCTCGCCTCCATCGGCTTTTCCACGCGACTTAACTGCTGCCACTATAATTGAATTTCTCTGAGCGCATATACGTTGCAAAGTCGTGAATAGTCGCTCCATCAAGAGACACTCGAGAATAATAGAAGGTGTCTCATGCACTGCTGAAAAATCCCTTTTTACACCCGGTGCCAGATGATGCTAATAGTCTGGCCGGTAGTCACTTACCCTCCTTGGGATTCTGCCTGACGAGATCAAACATTTTCGGAAGGGCTAGACAAACCGTCATACCGAGTTCTTCATCAAGCACAAACCCGGCCGAGCGGCGCTCCACCTAGCAGTCTTCGCAGGCCGAATAGGGTTCGTGCATCTGCTACTTTCTAGACGCAGCGACCCTGATCTACAGGATGATTCGGGCCACTCGCCATGGGACTGTGCACGTCGCTTCAATAGACCCGTGATGGAAATGATTTTTTCAAAACGATCCGATGGCTAAGGTATTCCTTAGTACTCAATCATCGCAGGATGCGGAGCTACCTCTTCACCAAGCGGTATCATATGGGTCGGTAGATGCTGTCGAACGGCTTCTCGGACAAAAGGGCCTGAACTTGGACGCCCACGACCCGAATGGTGATACGCCGCTCCATCTCGCCGTTCAAAACAAACGCTTGGAAATGGTCAATATGCTCCTGAGTTACCCTCGTGCCAATGTGGACTGCAAAGACAAAGAAGGCAATACGCCTCTTTGGCTGTCAACGTACTTGTCATACGATGAGATAACCGAAAGGCTACTGGCCGAGATCGGCATCGATGTTAACTTCGTCGGAGGCTACGGGAGGCGCGAGGGGCCGTCTACATCGCTTCATCACGCGGCAGCCAGATTGGACACTGCAGTTTTACGGCAGCTGCTTGCGGTGCCAGGAATAGATCTCAATCACTGTGTTGCAGGCCACTCTCCAATGTCTGCTGCCGCATTGCACGGAAGTGTGGACACGGTTGCTTGTCTACTGAGTATGGCGGGCGTGGAGATTAATGGAATAGATTTAATAGATCCGCCTATTTGTCGAGCGGTTGCACATGGCCATCTCGACGTGGTAAGACTCTTAGTGCAACAAGACGCACGTCTGAACATCAATGAAAGCACGATCGCAACTCACGACACTGCTCTCTGCATGGCTGCCCGTGGCGGTGACTTGGAGATCGCCCAGGCACTGCTACGCCATGATCGAATTGATGTAAGCGTCAGAAATCGATATTCTGAGGATCCATTGATGTTGGGAGTCAAGGGTGGACATTTCCCGATTGTTGATGCACTTGTGGTCAATCCCAGACTGAAATACTTCAGCCTGAAGAGATCGCTGGATCTAGCAAGGAACGATTGCATCCAGAGGGCCATTCGAAGCAGAATGGAAGACGTCAATACTCCACAAAGATTGTTGAAGCGGTCTCCAAGGGGAAGGTTGGGTGGTCTGTTAGGGCTGGCGACGTCTACCCCAAGTAGCTCTTTCGATGCAATGCGAGACGGCCGATTCATTCGACGCTTCCTCCGCTAGCTATACTGCCCACATTGTCACTGGATCCGTATTTTTGTCTATAATATATTGAATTAATAGAACTTAGAACAGGCCGGACTATCCGCTGACACACTCCGCAAAGGCTATCATATGCCTTCTTAATGTGAACAACTAAAAAGACATAAGCTGGCATGCACTAATCCTCTTCATTGTGAAATTGTTGGTTATTTTCCACGTTGTAAAAGACATAAGACAAATATGAACATGCAATGCTTCACTCTTCTCTTGCGTTGTCCAAGAAACCCTGGTAGACTGAGTCTGGAAGGGTGGTTCCAGTCATCAAGTACGCGAGTCAGTCGAACCCGAGATGATTCCAGTGCCTGCTCGAAAAAGGGCAGCCGAGACAGCTGCTTGTCGTGGCGCAGCTGAAGTCCGTCCCTCTCTTTAGTCAGGTGTCTGCTAGCCTCCTCCAAGATACGATTGCTCTGCTCTAGCTTCTGGCAATCGATGTGTTTGGACACGCACGAATCCAATAGGCGTCGATAGAGTCCGACAAGTCGAGCAGCGGGAAAGGCGAATTTGGGATCGTCGCGTTCGAGGTCTTCTAGCACTTTTAAAATAGGTCGAAAAGGCTCGATCGCCCACGTATGTCTTATTTCTGCTTCCTGTTGCGAGGGGAGAGCTGTAATGGTCAGCAAGAGCATTCGAAGCTGAGTCGTTCCACTTACCATTGGTGCATGATCGGAAGTTTCCTGCGAATTGTCTTTTTCACAAACGATGGGCAATGCACTAGGCTGTTGTTCTCCTTCTGCTTCCTGGTCTGACGTGCTGTTAGGTGCTCTGTTTGAGACCGTTCAATGATGTTGCTGGTGTGAATCTCGTGGTGTTGATGGTTGGTGAATGTGCCTCATATTATTGGCTAACTGGTGATGAACAGTCCAGGGGATATATATTCAATCACAACGCATTTTCCACATTCGTTTGAGAGCCCAGAAATCCCAAACGTAAATCAAGTAAAATCTAGAGGACAGAAAAAGAAAATCGAAAAAAGGATATCTATCTCAACCATGATCACAGTTTCAAAACCCCGTCAACAAGGACGGCCAAGCTTCAACGGGTTGACGGGTTGAGTACCCGTGCACCGCGCGACCACGGCCTGACGCTTTCCGCAGCCTAGCGGGCAGAACCACACACAGCTCAGACAATCAACACTCAAGCAAGGCCAGAAAATTTTCAAGTTCCTTGGATGAAAATGTGAGCGCTCTTGGTGAAATCAAAGAACG